AGAGTTTTCTGAAAGCTGTGTCTGTGTAAAGTAGCCCCCCTACATTTCAAGTACATTAGATAGGAAGTCTGAACAAACTTAAGGCTCTGTTGTTAAATGGAAAAAAAAGTATAAAATTAGTTTAAAGAGGAAGCTATCTTGGGAGGTTATGCAAATGATTTATTTTGTGTTTCCTGGAGATGTGACAGGTGCTGACTACCATTATGCCTACTTGCAAACAAAATGCAAAGTTACCCCAAGAACTTTCAAAAAGGCTCCAGCACTATGTGTACCCTAATCTTATGTATGTTTAACTAGATTACATAGATTCTTATCTTTTGTTAAATTATGGATGCTCAGTGGACCAATATGATATTAAAGTATGTATATATTATATAAAATTTTAAAAAGTTTCCAGCATTACTCAAGGCAGCTGCTTTAATTTGCCTAAAGAAGCTGCATATATGAAATTTTTATGCCCTGGACAAGTCCTTTACCCTTTAATTGAATGAAATGAATGAAAATGACTTGTTTTGTCTTCTTCATTTTGCAGTGGTGGAAACTTACAAATTTCCCCCTTTGTCTGATAACTTCAGAAGTTCAATGCTAGGTTAAAGCTTGATTTACTAACCACATGGCATATAAAATAGAAAACAAATGTCTTTTCCTTAGCGTAAAGCTGAGAAGCATATCTATCTTGTTCATGGATGTAATATATACATGCCAGTTAATAAATAGTCATATCTGTAGAGCACAGACTTTCAAAACAGAGATATGAGTTTGAATTCCAACTCCATGAGCTACCACTTTTTTACTTTGGGCAAGTTGTACCACTTCTTTAAGATTCAGTGTTCCCATCTGTAAACTGGGGATAGTAGCTCCTATCTTACAGAGTTTTGGGAACATTAAATTAGGTGATGTAAAGGTTAGCCCAGTGTCTGGCTCACTGCCTTTAATAAATGTTAACTATTGCTCTACTTCCCATTAACAGTCCAAATACAGACCAATGTTATAACTCTGCTTCTCAAATGACAATGTGCATGCGAATCACCCCAACGATGTTAAGATGCAGATTCTGCTTCTCCAGGTCTAGGGCAGGACCTGACATTCTGCACTCCTAACTAGCTCCCAGGTGAAGCTGAGGGCAACACTTTGAATGACAGGATGATAAAAGATATTTGCAAGTGCAGGTGTTTTATTTGTCTAACCAATGGTTCTCAATGATCTCTGCACGTTAGAAGCTTTCAGAGACATTTTTTAAAAAGAGAAAAACTGATGCTGGCCTCACAAAAGAATTAGAGTTTAATTTTACAGGCTCCTAAGGCATTCACATGTTTAGAAGCCTCCCCAAATAACAATCTTCTAGCTATTCTGAGCTACTCAGATACATGATTTATGTTTGTTAATTGCTTTTTTTCTCTTGTGAACATTAGCTGGAGAATGTCACCTGTCTGAGAGGTAGCGTACTTTATGCCTACAACCCCTGTACACACACACTCTGTACCAGACAGAGAGAAAAAGCAAGTATTCATAGAAAATAGATTTTTGTCAAAGGCCCAGACAGTAAAGAGGGGAGTTCTGCTGTATGCTACGGGGAGTTCCAGAGGAAGTTACAGGCGCTCCTTCTCATGAGAAGAAAGCATAAGAGTGATAAATAAATTTGCTAAATAAATTCAGTAGAGACACACCCAAAGTCCTCTAACTAATTCTTGTTATCTCAGGCTCCGCCACTAACCTTCCTTGTGAGCTCTGTTTCTCTTCCTTGTTTCCTGTTTAATCATGTGTAATAAAAGAAGACAAGGAAGTACTATGAGAAGAGTAAAAATAGTGTAAATTCCTGAACCTGGTACATAGAAAATGGTTAATACATATTTGATAAATGAATAAATACTATTCTTCAGGGCAGAGCAGATTTGGTGTCATGTGGCTCTGTCTTAGTTATAAGGGGACTTGAGACTCAAGTCTTTGAAGATGATTCCCATCCTAAAGGGATCTGCCTTTAAGAGGGCCCCATTATGGAGACCCAGTGTGAGAATTATAACAAGTGTTCACTGGATTCCACAAAATGGAATCGTACAGGAAATTCGAAAGCACAACATCTCTTTTCACTTCACCCCAGAATCCTCTCAACCTGGCCAAGCAAATGCAGGTGTGATTAGCATTGTTTTACACAGAAGCACTTGTTTTATAGCCCTGCCCCATCCCCATCCTGCACAGAAGAATGCTGGGTAAATGTAACACCTTTCTGTGCCATAGATCTCTGTTAGAAAAGCTTGTTAATGTGGTTAAAACGGGGGTTGGAGGCAAGATGCAAATTTGTCCGTTTTTGGGGTTTTTTTTAAGATTTTTATTGGGGAATTGGGGGATGGGAACAGCGCTGGGGAATTGGGGGAAAGGGAACGAACAAGTTGCTGTCCTTTCGTTCTTCAGTCTAGTTGTGGAGGACGTTGCTTCACTGGCTCAAGTTGGCACCATCATTGCGCTCTTCCCGGGTGAGGCAGATCAGTCACCGGCTTCTGGAAGGCCACTCACTGCAGCTGCTGGCCACTCACGCTGGCTGCTGGCTACACACAGTAGCCCATGGCAACCCACTACAGCAGGGGCTGCAGCCTATGTTGCCGAGGACTCACGGCAGCCCAGCTCCAAGTTAAGCTGTTCAGCATCTTAGCTGTAGAGGGCAGTGTCACTGGCTCTCATATGTGGGATCCGAACCGGGGCCCCCCAGCGTCCCAAGCCAGCTCTTAACCAACACGCCACTCGGATGGCCCTGTCCATCGTTTTTGATAACTCTCAAGTTGTGCACAGCACTTCCTATCAAGTGTGCTGGGTGGTGATTAAGAAAGCCAATTTGTGCAATCTTGGGCAAGTTGTATTTTGATGACAGAAAGGAATATGGTTAGCCTTATCATTCCTTTCTCCCTCTCCCCATTTCTGTCATTTATTTGCCAAAACCTTACCTGGAACCTAGTAGGTGCTGGGCACTGGAGATACCAAAACAAACTCAACCTGGTCACTGCCTTCAGCGACTTGTAGGACAGCAGGAGGAAAACTCTGAGTCAGAAGAGAATTGCAATGCAAATCATTTAAGCAACAGAAAACTCAAAAATTAACTCACACTGTGAAATCTGTTGTCTAGGATGGTCAGGGAATGAGCTTTCCTGGTTAATAAAATTTTGTGGTTAATAATGAAAGGCCATGCATTCTATATATAGATTACCGTTTACCCAAGAATTAAAACATGTTACAAAAGAAAAGAACCAATGTTTGCTGACAATCCATCATCTGCCAAAATCAGCTACTTCACATGTGCCATTTTTCTTAGTTTTCACCACAATCCTGAGAGGTAGATATTCACCTTGTACCTTTACAAATAAAGAGGTCAAGATTCATAGAGATTAAATGACATGATCAAGCTCAAAGGGCTCATAATCCCAATACAGGCAGAATTTGAACCCAGGTTCATCTGTCACTAAATCCAATGCTCTTTTCATACCACGTTGTATATGGAAACAATTCCTCAAATAGCATATGCCTAGAAGCCTCCCCAAATATTTATTGAATGGTTGATTTGACTGATTAAATCAATGAATGGGTGAAGCAAGCTCTACTGAACATAATTTGATCGAATTCTCTGTCATGATTCAGGAGCTACTTCAAGATCTTGCTATACCTCAGTCGTAATGAATAGCCATTCATTAATGATGGAAGACGCATAATTTGTACAAGTTCTCACACTTTATTCATGCATACACTACCTTCATTAGTTTTGCCATGTTGACAGCACTTTACACTATTGTTTTTATAAAATTCTTTAAATCAACTCAGCTTTTATTTTTTGAACAAAATAGTATAGCATGCAGTAAATGAGAAACCACTATCACTGGTACTGGTAAATAGAGGATATGAACACACATAAATGTGATGAAAGTAAAGTGGTCTTAAAATCTACCCAGATACTATTATCTGCCTCAGAGCTTCCTGTTTTATTAAAAGGAAAAATACCTATTGTGAGAGTCTGGTTGCAAATTATACTCGTATGTAATTTGAAGGGTTAAAATACAATAGAATTGAAGAGGGAATAAATTCCTCTCTGAATAATCCAACTCCATTAGGTTTTGATTCGGCCCTATCTAAAATCATTTTGTATACTTCTACTGGCATGTACCTCACATTTTGGGAAATGCTCCTTCCGTGGATTATAATACTACAGGTTTTGAAGGCAAACACCTAACTGGCTCTGAATTTTAACTTTACTACTTGTATGTTCTGGGGCAAACCTCTTTGAGCCAGCTTCCTCAACTATAAAATGGTGATGATAATACATATTTCGTGGTCATATTTTCAGGATTAAATGATATAGTTACAAAGAGCTTAGCACAGTTCCTGGCACATAGTAGGTATACACTTAATAATATTGTAGTTTATTCTTCATTTCCCCTTGTTGATATAATAGAAAAGAAGTTTCTTCAGTGGGCTTGTTTGATGTGGTGATTAACAGCAATTGGGATTTAGCAATACCTGGATCTGCCCCTGGCTGTACAATCTTAGGCAAGTGGCCTAACCTTCCTGTGTCTCAGTTTCATTTTCTAAAAAATAGGATAGTTCTACCTCACTGTTTTCCTGGGAAGACGTGTTAGCAGAGGCCTAACACATAGCATGATCTCAACACGTGATAGTTATTATTATTATCACTGGTGAGAGGAAGTAGTATTTTGCAGGGACTGAATGATGTAATTTGATCCATATAAAGAAAATGAGCCTGGATAATCGGTGGCAGGAAGGCAGTCAGCTGCACAGGTGTGGAGTGTTGAGAGGAAAGAACTACCTCAGAGCATTGGATCTAAAATTCCATGCTTGCCCAGACTGGATGGGGGAAGGAGAGAAAGGAACCCAATCAAATGCCCAGTTATTGACAAGTATTTCCTGGAAAATGGTAGTAGGCTGTGTCTCCTCAGTTCCCACTCTGTACAGAACTGAAATGTGAAGGCAGACAATGGAAGAATGTCTTGTTTTCTGTTCAGCTTTATTCACAGTGACGGTCCCTAAGGAACTGTATGTGGTAGACTACGGCAGCAATGTGACCCTGGAGTGTGATTTTGACACTGGAGATCGTGCGGAATTTGGACATGTAGAAGCCAGTTTGCAAAAGGTGGAAGACAATATGCCCGCCAACAGTATTACTGTGCTGGAGGAGAAGCTGCCCCTGGGAAAGGCCTTATTCCACTTCCCCCGAGTCCAAGTGAGGGATGCAGGGCAGTACCGCTGCGTGATGGTCTATAGGAGCGCCTGGGACTACAAGTACGTGACTCTAAAAGTCAAAGGTGAGTAGTTTCTGGGACTGGAATCCATGGAGGCATCTCTCCATCACAGGACCTAAAGTGAGCTCAAACAAAAGCTGGGAGGATGGTTCTAAAGAGACAGAGTTATTTCAAAGAAAAGAAATGCACCTGTTCAGAAATATTTTTTGACTTCTGAGTATAAAGCAGCTAAGGCAAAGGTAAATAGGGGTAGGAGTTGCAGGAATAAATGGGTCTAAAGAAGCCAGGAAATGAGTCCTTCCTTCAGAGGTGGGAGGGTACCAAAGATAGGCTGTGCCTAATTCACTTTTCTCACAAGGAACAACACTAACTTGATTAGTAAGCTACTCTTTCAGAATAGCTTATCACCTCAGTCCAGACTTTTTAAACCATGGTTTGCCATCCACTAATGGATTAAAATGTCAGTTTAGTAAGTAGTAACCAGGTGGGTATTTTGTTCCCAATTAAATAAACAAAATGAATAGAATAGAATATATCAGAGGGCATCATATATTAATAGTAGGGCTGAGTGTTGTTTTGTGAAACTTGTTTCAGACAGTGTGTGTGTGTGTGTGTGTGTGTATGTTTGTGTTTGTGTGTGTGTGTGTGTGTGTGTGTGTGTGTGTGTGTGTTGGCTCATGGTATAAAATATTTTTTCTCACTCTGCGTCAGTCTAAAAAGTTTGGAAAGCACTACTTTAGTCCAAGTCTCATCTATTGCAGATGAAGCAGTCGGAGTCCAGAGAAGTGAAATGGGTGGCCCGAGGGAGCCCAGTTAAGTCAATAGCTGTCCCTATTCCTCTGGGTTCAAGGCTCTCTCCAACACAACATAAGCCAAGAACCTACATCTGAAGAGCATCTTCAAGCTCTTGTTCATTCTAGGAAAGTCATTTTAGGAAAGACTTATAAGAACTATTAAAGAATAGATTTGACTCAGATCGTCGTCTTGTGCTTTTCAGCCTTCATTGATTTGCCCGAGTTACACTATGTCAGTTTTTCTCTGCCTCTTCCCCGATTTTCCATCAGGCTTCTCTGTTCTGTCTTCTGGAGAGCCTGTGGATTTTGGTCCTTAAAGACCAGTCAGTGACCTTGGCAGCAATGGTCTGGTACAAAGAAGGACAAACTAAAAGGATAAGATATGAGGGTGGATGTTGTTTTCACCGGTGACCTTGGCTGGGTTATTTCACCTTTCATAATCTCACATTTTTATTTATCAAAGGATAACAGTGGTAGCACCTACTACATAGGATTATTATACAAATTAAAAGAGATAATGAACATAAAGAACTGAGCGTGGTGCCTGGCATATGATATGGTGACTGTCCAGAGATTTGGTTCAAAGACCCTCAGTTGTTACAGAGACAGTGACCTCCTTACTCCTCAACTCCCCATGAGTCACCAGGAAAGCTTGCAACCTGGATGTGACTGCCTTCTATCTTTACTGCATTTCCTTCATCCAGGCATCAACTGGGCGGAACTCCAGAACACTGAACTTAGTCTGAGTTCAATCAACAGAACGGAAGATGGTTTTACATTCTCATGATCCCCTAATGTACTCTGCTATCTGCACACCTAAATCACTGCCCCCATGTTTATTGATCTCATTTGAATGCTGTAATGCATCTAGGGTCTTTGGGCAATTTGGGGCCTGTCATCCCATTTCTTTTTTGCAGCTGAGGGCTGCTGCTTATTCCTGGGGAGGCATTCTGTCTGCTTCCTCACCTGGACCAGGATAGCTCAGATGTGGAACAGATTTATTCCTTAAATCTTCATTAATTAATTTCTTAAATTGTTAATGGTCTTCAAACTATATGGGGCATATGGGGATCACAAAGACTTTCTAAGACATGCACAGGCATAGGCAGTTTTAGGACATGACTTTTTAGATCTTCATCTTCCCCAAGTACTCTTTCCCCAAATTGAGTGTGCCTGAGAATGTGCCTTACAGGCAAGGCTCTTGGAATTCCCCTAGTACACTTCCTCTTTTAGTATTGCTTTCTCCCACTTCATAAAGAGCCTACCTGCTACCCATCATGAATATAGTGCATTGCCCTACAGTATAAAAACCTCCATAGTCCTAAACAAAAGTGTGATTAGAAATATTGATAACTTACCAAACTGTAATGACTAAAAAATCCTTTTGCAAATCAGGAAGTATCAAATTCTCTGTTTTCAACAAAATTGAAGAAGGCCCTAATAGAGTTAATAACTGATAATAAAAGATGAAGTAATTTTTGCCATATAAAACATAAAGCTTTCAAAGAATGAAATGACATTACTATCACACAACTTCTTCCATCCCATCAACTTATTCATATAAGCAAGATTCTTTAGCACTTATAGCTACAAAAAATTAAAAATAGAAATAGAATTGATGCTGAACTGTGTCTCATTTCAACCATAAGTCATATGCATCCCAAGATTCATGAACAAATTGAAAAATCAGCCCCATCCATCCCATTAAGAGATACATTTCTAGTAAGTTTTTATCTTTAATAATTATCAATATTCATAATATTTTACACTTTGATTTTACATGTGCTGATAATAATAGAAATTAGATTTTAATGCAGAAGAAAACTTTGGACACTTAAAGCCTTATGGTCACAAGAAAAAATATTTTAATTTCAATAGCTATGTTGCAAAGAAACATAGAATAATCAATAATAGCTTCCAAACATGTGGCATTAAGATAAAATCCTATAGAAAAAGTAGAATGGGAACTGAGTTTCAAGAAATAAAAAGAAACAAAGTATTGTAAAACTCTGACCATTAGAGAAGAATTTTTGTTATGTGTTTTTCAATGGATGGTGATGTGTATAAAAAAACACCTTCTTTAATTTCTAAATGACACTGGATACATATATAAGAATGAAATAATTGTTTTACTAAAAATATGAATGTTTATAGGATGCTAAATATCATATATTTTTCCAATATAGAAACTTATGAAAAATTTTAAGAATCAACTCAGTACATGAGAGGGTGCAGTCTGCATCACAATTCTGTTAGGAGAAATGCAAGCAAGGGGAAAAAAAAGAAAGAAAAGTTGAAGACCATCACCTAAGAGTATTGTACCCTGATCAGGGGTCTCTGAAGGAAGCAGGGGAGATATGGGGTCCCACTTAGGGTTTGCTTAAATGAAATAGGACTAGAGGATGGACAACCTATTTTCTTAGAATGCCTGATCTATAGCATAAACCTGGAAAATAGTTTATAGCAAGCACCTTCTTTAATGTCTGGGCAACAGTTCATATTAAATACAGTGAAAAGAGAACAGATTTCAAAAGCATAGGAAAAAAATAGTAGGTAGAACAGCTAGAGAATCTACAAGAGACAGTAAAAGGAGGCTGCAGTTTCTGAAAAGTCAGGCTGCAACTGCAAGATGCTGAGATATCTGAGGAAGGGCAGGGAGCATGGCTGAAGAAAAGAACACAGTGGCTCTGAGAGGCCAGGAAAGCCCAGGAAGTGAGTCCACAAATTGAGAACTTGCCCATGCAAAGGATTCCTGACAGACACAAAGCAAGCACTGAGAAGAGAAGGGCCAAACCAGCCTGAAGGCCTGGGCAAAGCCTGAGAAGGAAGGTGGGAGAGTCAACACCTGGAATGAGTGGAGGCTTACAAAAGTCCTTCAACAAAAAAGCCCAAGGTAGAGACTGCAGCTTGAGAAAGTGGAGGAAGCAGGCAGCATGACTCCCATTCTTTCTTGCAAGAGGAAAGGTCTTTACCCCTAAAAAGGGGAAGACAAAGGGCACAGGGAAGAAACAGCCCAAGAGAAGCAATGTGCTAGTGAAAAGATGACGGTGCATGAAGCCCCCGGTCCCAGAGAAAGCATTGCTAAAAGAACCTACTGAGGGGCTAAACCTCTGACCTCAATGTCTCATCTCCATTGGGGAAACAGGAGAGAATTAGGAAAGATGGAGTTAAGAAAACAATGGCATGAATTTTAAAGGGGGAAATAGTTCCTGGGAATTATAAACTGTTTAATGAGGTACCTCTCTAAACCATTTAACAGTGAATTGAGAGCAATCCTAAAAGATTTATATCAGTGATTATTAGAAACCTGCTTGGATTCTCTAAGACCAAGTCATGTAAAACTACATATATACATTTTTTACCTTAGTTACTGTCTTTATGAGGATAAAGCAGATAATACTATGTACAGCTTACCTTTATTTCAGAAATGGTTGAGTTGCCAGTAATATATAAATCAGATAGTAAGAGGCAACCAAGAAAACAGAAACTATTTAAACCAGTGGAAATTTAAGTCAGAAAATAGTAATTCTGTTGATGGAACAGACTGAGAAGCCAACCTGGGAACAGGGAGACAAATCGGCAACTAGAAATAGCACGAAGCTGCTACCACCACTGGGCTGGAGGAGAAGGGGGAGGGCAGGGTTAATAGGTCCCATGGGCCAGAGTCACATGACAGACACTGGAACCCCGTGGGCCTGTCCAGTGGTAGCTGGGGCCAGGGAAGAAATGTGGCTATTGCTGGAGAGGCATAGCATAGAGCATGGGGGAGAAATACCCTAACGTCTCCCTCCTTCTCACCCTCCAGTCTTCCCACCATGTTCCTATTGGCTGTCAAGAGTCTGGAATACCCAACCTGCAAAAGTCAGCCTTCCTGCAGTTCAAGGCAGAGAAGACCAATTTAGGGATAGATCTGAGGACAAACAGGTCCAGGACCCACACAGCACATACCTTATGCATAAAGTGGTAAAATGTGGGTTGAATAATAGTATAGTTAACTGGATCTATAACAGATTGAACAACTAGTAGTTGTTGACTCAGGCCCAACAAAGGGTGATTGATAGCCAACCTTGCTGGGCAGTAGATCATTTATTTAACAAAATTGTGATCTTAGGATCTTAAGCTGCATTAAAAACCCTGTGTTGGGCCTAAAGTGTGCTCAGCGCATAAGAGGTAATTAGTCACACTATACTGTAGTTAAGATCTGGAATATAGGTCATATTACATTGGCAAAAAAAAAAGTGAATCCAAAGACTGGTATCTGGGCCTGGGTCTGACAACTATGTCCTATGAGAAATGGTGGAGGGAAGTAGGCGTGTTTTACCTAGAGGTGAAAAGACTATATGGAGTATTGCCAGTTATCTTCAAACACCTGAAGGGTTACCTTGTCATGGAGAGCTAATAATAATTACTAACAGTATTGAGTAGTTACTATGTTTTAGGCACCTAATGCATTTAAGTATCCTAACACCACTGTTAAAGATGAGTATTATCATACCTATTTTATAGATGAGAAATCTGAAGACTTGAGAGGTCATATAACCAAGCCTAATCAAACTTTTCAGACTCCGAAGCCCATGTTAACTACTGTGCTTACCATAAGTTGCTTTACTAAAGCAGATAAGTACCAATGGTTGAAGCTACCTACCAGAGGGCAAAATTTGACTTGGCATAATGATGATTTTCCCAATGAAAGTTTAACTTTCTTATTGTCTAATCATGGCAATGATTACTTCTGGAAGTAGGAGCTTCCATTCATAGATGTACAGAGGGTGCCAAAAAAAAAAGTATGCACATTTTAAGAAAGGAAAAAACTGTATTAAAATTGTAATACTCAATATACACTGATATCAAAAGATGAATACAAGGCATAGGTATACATTTTTTGGCACCCCCAGTATTTAATCAAAATGTAGTCATCTCTCAAGTTACTAATATCAGAAGAGAAGTATTATTAAAGATAAAAAGGGACATTTCATAATGATAAAAAAGTCAATTTCACAGGAAGACATAATAACCCTAAACATGTGGACATCTAACACAAAGTTTCAAAACATATAAAACAAAAATTGACAAACATAAAGGAGAAATAAACAAATTCACAATTGTATTCGGAGATTTCAACTCATCTCTATTATAAGTGATTGTATAAACAAAAAAAGAAAATAGAAGAGTTGAACAACACAGTTAGCCATTCTGACCTAATTGACGTATATAAAACTTACACCTGGGCCAGCCGAGTGGCGCGATGGTTAAGAGCTGGCTTGGGACGCCAGAGGGCCCCAGTTCAGATCCCACATATGAGGGCCAGTGACACTGCTCTCTACAGCTAAG